GTGAGAATTTTCTAGACTAGATCCGAATAGATGTTTCATGATAAGTTATGGTTTAGAAGGACGGTCACTGAGATATTGTTTAGTTCCTGAGATTTTTAAAATTCTTTCCTGACTTAAGTTTGTTTGAGGACAAACAAAAAGGTAAGTCTGGGGGAGTTGATAACACCGTCTTTGACCACTTTTATGGATCATAATTATGTCTTATGCAGGTGTTTGAACTCTGTTTTCAATGGTTTTTAAAGTGTTTTCAATGTTTTAGAGTTTCAAAATACTTTACAGGAAACTTGGGCAAAAGATATACAATTTGGAACAAATGAGCATTTTGGATAAATGCAAACCGTCAGAAGTATGACAAGCGATGAATACCTTCTCACCGTCTGATCACCCCCAAAATTTGAGACAACATAGAGGATCCAACCAGGTTTCTAATGCAGTTGGTTTGGAGACAATCCAACGGTTAGATCTTCAGATACTCCCGATGCAAGAAGGACAGAAAATGCAGTTCTGGAAGAGAGCCGTGTGCCAGGACCGCGGCCAACACCTGTTTACCTGCGGGTAGAGCCACCACGACCGCGGAACTTGGTCGTTCACTTTCCCGACGACTTAATTACAGCCCAGATCTATTCCTCTCGTTATTTTTGAAGTCCAAAGTGTCCAGAACCACCCCAGAAGCTATAAATACCCTCTTTAGGTCATTCTAAAGAGTGTGTTCTTTTCTGTACTTAAATATTCGTGTGAGACGCAAACCCTAGAGAGGGAGGCCCCAGTTTTTGAAGGAGGAGCCGTCGCTGGAGGAAGACATCGCGCCTCCATCTGCTTCTCCGTTCTTTTTTTTCTTCCTTCTTTTCTTTAATTTCCTGCAACTTTCAATACTCTGTGATGATTGTTTACAATATGTTTGAGTAGTTACCCAGTTGGGTTTAATGGGATTGTTCAAAGGGAATTTCATGTGTCTTTTCTTATGAATCGATAGATTTAGGATTTATAATCTTCTAGATGTTCTTCGTTTACCTTTACTCTTACTGCGTGATTCTTTGCTGGCCACTTAGAAGCCGATATGATATGATATGTTGCGAAAGTTTTCATTAATTGTCTGAACTAGGGTGAAACGAGCAATTCTTCTATAGGAGTGGAAACCTACCTATAGTTGAGTTGTGAATGTTGATGAGTCTTGTTTTGCTATTGCATCTTCTCCCTTCCAGGATCAAAGTGGAAACCTACTGATCAGGGTTGCGAGAGATAGTTGTTTAGTGCTGCGAAAGTAGGCTATTCATACTTCCGTGCCTCGAGTTCTAGAACATACGTAGTTGATTACCTTTATCACTTGTTTAAAATCGACATAGCCTAGTCCATGAACCCCTGCGAATTCCCCTTGATGCCCAACGTTTGTTTTTAATTGCTTACAACCTTCGATACAGTCTTGCTTTTCAATCGCTATTTACTTGCTTTCATTCGCTCTTGTTTATTCGATTTTTACTTGCTTGCACTTGCTTTCCTTTCAATTGCTTTTTATTTGCTTTCTAGTTTAAATTTAGTGACAATCAAAACCCAAAACCAAAACCAAAACCTTTTTAGTTCTAGTCTGATTTAAGCATAGCCGTGAATTCGTACTGAAACAACTAAGTCTCTGTGGATCGATACCCTAAGTACTCACATCTGTGCACTTGCAGACATTTAGGGGTTATAAATTTAAAACCTGAAGCATAGTAAAACGAAAACAACAACCCCGCTTTTGCTCGGAATCATTATTATTAGATCTAACAAACCATAATGTGTATACACATTAGAAGCAGAATGAATGAAAGATGTCAAAGTCATAAAGAGCTCACATAAATCTCAAATATAGGCTAAAACATAAACATACAACATAATTAAGTGCTATCCTCCAAACCCATATTTCAGCATGCTTTAAAGGTCTTTGGAGGTAAAGCTTTCGTAAATATGTCTGCAATCATAAGTACAGTGCCTATGTGTTCAATGAAAAACTTTTCTATTTTAATATCTTGCTTCAGTGATAGATATTTAAGGTCCATATGCCTCGCAGCTTTGGATATCCTATCATGTTTCACATCACAACATAAGTGGGAAGGTGCTTCAATCTTGGATTACGAGATGGGTATTGAACCAGGTTTGCAAGTTTTAGACTAGATGAAAGCTTCTTCGGGCAAAGACAACAACAAGTTTGAGATTTCCTGCAAGGCGATAAAGGTCAAGCTTGAGATCAGTGGACGATGCTGAGCAACCTATCCTTTATTCACAAGTTTATATTCAAAAGCTGTATAAACTTATTTTTTAATTATGTACGTTTACTTTGTAATACTGATTTTTCTTCTCATGGTTTCATTTATGAATTTTTTTTTAATTAGTTAATTAGGACGAAAATGTTTTGCAGATTAAGATCGTCGAAATAAGTGACATAATTGATAGTATGTATGTATAGCGAATAGGCAACGATTCTCTAGTCATTATTTGTGATGATTTAGAACTAAAATTTAGTCAAAATGAGTGACAGATTTGAGACATTATAACAGTTATAAAATATGACGGTCGAGACGTTTTCTTTAGTTTCTAATTGATACAGTTTTGTTATTGTAATTTCTTGTTACCATTGATGACGAAATAGTTACTAGATATATTGATAACACCTGATTTTGACTACTTTTATGGATCACTTTCAATATCTTATGCATGTTTTTCACTCAGTTTTAAAGGTTTTATAAGTGTTTTCCATGTTTTGGAGTTTGAAAAGGCTTTTCAGAAAACTTGGAATCTTGGAGTGCATTTTGGAGCAAAATTACATTTTTGGATAAATTCAGGCCGTTAGAATTTTGGCAACCAAAGAAGACTTTCTCACCGTCTGATCATCCCCAAATTTGGAGACATTATAGAGGAGACAGTCCAGCTTTCCAACACACTTTAAATCAATACAACACAACGGTTAGATCTCCATATATCATCAATGCACTGAAGGCCAATCAACACAGTCCGGGAAGAGACAGGAGTTTTCACCTGCGGCCAAACTCTTTCCCACCGTGGCTCAGCCTCCCTCACCCGCGGTGGAGCTCTATCCAAACCTCAGAAGCCAAACTAAGGCCCAAGATACTTCCTGCACTCAATTTATAAGTCATAGACACCCATACTTGAGGAAACACTAGAAATACTCATTTTTATGTCTTTTGTAAGAAAGCCTCTTTCATATCTTTGAGAGAGAATTTCATTGTAGTTTTACGTTTTACATTTATGCATTTGTAGAAGCTCATCGCCAAACCCTGTCTTTAATAAGAGAAGTTTTTCCACAACTTTTGTTTCTTTACTTTTCTGCTTTCTAGTTCTTAAACCGATGATGATGTCAAGCTTAGCCATGTCTGAGTAGTCACCAACTTGGGTGAAAGGACCATCAAAGGGAATCCCAGGTTCAACTGACATCTAGGTTTTTTAGGTTAAAGGATTTCGATTTTAAATGATTCTCCCATTCATCCAAATCTCAAAATGGTTCTCTGGATTGATCACCCAGAGTCCGATCCAAGGTTGAATCCGAGCCACGAGAGTGTTGTATCTGGGTTACCTGAACTGGATCTTATGGACTTCATCATCGTAGGAGACGAAAGCTACCTACAGAGGATACGTAAGCTGAGATGGATTCCGATCTAAAATGCATGATCTTATTCTGGCATGAGAGCGAAAGTTAATTGCCAAGAATAAGTGATTAGATGATTAGGGTAACAAGAGTTGGATAATCTTATAAGTGTCTATCCTAGTTTCAGATTCATAGAAAATCCTTACCTAAATTCCCTGTGTCATAGAACATGAACCCTAGAGATGAACCCTAATCCCAACGCCGTTTTTTCATATAGTTGTTAATCGATTCTATTTCAAGATTTTTAATTCCCTAATTAGTTAGATTTAGTTACAAACCAAACCTCCCTTTTTATCTGAATAGGTCTACGATTGACTTTAGCATCAGTTAGAAGTCCTCAACACATAAATTCCTGTGGATTCGATCCCTAAGTACTACTGTGTTTGCTGTGCACTTGCAGCTTGTCTAGGGTAAACCTTGTATTGCCCACTGCACCCACATCATGTTTTTGGCACCGTTGCCAGGGATTTGTCACTGTTGATTTGATTTCTTAATCTAATTCCAATTCTAGACCACAAGATTTTCGAGTTCTGCTAGAGATTTTCTAACTTTTCTTTTTATCTTACTTTCTTTGCTCTCAGGTCCATGAAAACTAGGAGAAATCCTAGCCAACATTGTACCGCCCTTAGACGAGATTGACAAACACGAAAGAGAACTTCGGGGACTCAGACGAAGAACGCTCAAGATGGCCAATCCGAATGCCCATCGAGAAGATATTTAAAACCGTGATCAAGATGATGATATTGGAGATGATGACCGTGATTCCATTCAAGAAGATGACCAAGAGGCTGCTCATGAAGTAGATTGCCAACCACAACTCGATGGAGAGGGAAATCAACTCCCTAGAAATGTTCCTCAAGCCGCTGATAACCGAAGGAGGCAAGACCAGGCGAATCCCGAATGACAAAAGGATGATGAAAACATTGTTCCACCTATTGGTAGAGAAGCCAATCGATCCATACAGCTTGCCAATTCTGGGAGAAGACAGCCCCGCAATATACGTATTGCCAATTTCGATGCACCTCACCAGTACTTTCAAAATAGAACAGCTATACAAGTTCCTGCCCGAGCAAAAGGAGATTTCGAGATAAAACCTCAGATTGTCTCTCCGGTGAAGCAGAATCAATTCCATGGAATCTCTTCTGAGAATCCAATGGATTACATAGATCTTTTTGAAGAAATCTGTGGAATGGAGAGAACAACTCCGGACACTGCAGACTATGTGAAGTGTAAACTTTTCCCTTTCTCTCTAAGTGGTAAAGCTTTTAGATGGTTAAAATGTATGCTATCTGTTCTATTACTTCATGGGAATAATTCAAGTAAGCTTTTCTGAACCACTTCTACACCAAGTCGAGATCAAACCAGCTGAAAAAATATATCCAAAGTTTCCAACAATACCCAATAGAATCATTCTATGAGGGGAACGATTCAAGGAATATGAGAGAGACTGCCCTCATCATGGTTTTTCTGGAGCAAATCTGCTAATCACCTTCTACAGAGGACTTCAGCAGAAATATCAAATTTCTCTTGACACTGCCAGCAATGGAGATTTCGGTTCAAAAACTGTGACACAAGGGAGAGCACTCATCGAAAACTTAGCTGTAGCCAATAGCAACAACAACCTTGAGTATGACAGATCAAAGAAGACTATCATTAGCCATGAGTCAAGGGAGATTGCTGAGCTTAAAAGCATGGTAAGTCAACTTCTTAAATCTCAAAATAAGAATATACATGCCTGTGACACTGCTGCAAGAAATGAAGAAGATGGAAGATATGAAGATGATGGCATATATTCTCAAGAAGAAGAAGTTAATTTCATGGGAGCTCAAGCATATCATAGCTGATTCAGCCCAGCTTTCAACCACAACTTCAGGAACGCCAACTTCAACAATCTCTCATACATAATCCAGGGAGCTGAGAACCCCTAGAACCAACCTTATCCGCAGAACTAGAGGAATTTTCCAAAAAATTTCTAAAATGGGAACTATGGAGGAGGAAATTTCCAACAAAGACCACCTTTCAATCCTCAACAGACACAGACCAGCTCATTAGAAGCAACCCTCTCCCAGCTGAGCAGCCAAATTAAATCTCTTGACCAAAACGTGATGCAGATGTCTCAAGGCAATGAGAAGTCGATCAGGGAAATGAGAGTGAGAATCGAATGTATATACAATGACTTGAATGGGAAGTTTAAATCTCTTACAATCCATGTCAAGAAGTTGGAATTACAGATAGGTCAGACTGCAGATTCAATGAAGAGGCAACCAAGAGTTTTGTCAGGAAGAGTGGAAGATAATCCAAAGAAGTTCTGCAATGCTATGACAGCAGTCCCGGAAGAAGGACCAGTCGCAGACTCTAAGGAAATGTCGAAACCTGAACCTCTCATGAAGGATTCAAAAACCGAGTATGAGAGAAGCCAGATCATTCCGGTTAAGGTACCAGAACGTTTACCTGACCAAAGACTCAAAAAGTCTAAGGATCCAGGGCGTTTTTTTTTCACTTTCTCTATTCTGGAATTTAATTTTAGATTGTTTATGTGATTCTGGTGCTAATGTAAATATTATGTCACTTGCTGAGAAACTTGGTATAGGAACATTTGTCTCATCTCCTGTTAGGATAATCTTTGGTGATTCATCTCAAAAGATAACAGAAATAATGATTCAAGACCTACCATTGGTCATTGGAAGGAAAATCATCCCAGCCGATTTCCAAGTTTTGGAGATGGACCAGGACAAAGGAAGACCTTTGATATTTGGTCGACCATTCTTAACAAATGTATGTGTTATCATTGACCATGCAAATCACTGTTTAGTTTTCTTAAATGTGGACAGGAAAAAGTTTTATAGGACAACACCGGATCTAGATTCAAACCGCAAGGACAAGCTCAAGGAGAAGGTCTCGGAAAACAAGAAAGAACTAAAAGCACTTGCATCCAGCAGTTTGCAAAAATCAAGATAGTGGTACCACCAGACATCAGCAAAGAAAAGGAAGAAAACCTTGAAAGAATTGTGGAAAAGACAAAAACATGTTTTCAAGGATGCAAAAATCTTCAAGAAGGGAAAAGATATTGTGATTCAAGATGAAGAAGACCTAAAATTCAAGCTCAAGAGGATTCCAAGGACTCTTATCCAGAGAGATCATTCTTCGTCTTCTCAATCCTAAATCCCTCCAAGAGTCTAGCTATAAGGCTTTAAACAAAAGCGCTTAATGGGAGGCAACCCATTGGGTATGTTTTTCTTTCTTTTTCATTATTTTTCTATTTGATTTTTTTCCCTTTTCTGTATTTCAGGCTTTCATAAAACCCAGAAAAACCAAAAATATTTAAAACAACCAGAAAAATACAAAAAAATAGGAGGAAGAAACAGATAACCAGGAAGAAACCGGGAATCCCCGAAGCCATTTGCCGCGGTCGTGATCACATCAGCCACGGCCAGGCCTTGTTTTGCTACGGCCCATGTCCCTCATCCACGGCAAAACCATTATTTGCTGCAGCCGCACACACTTGACCTGCGGCCGAGCCCCTTTTTGCTTCCCGACTTATGTTTCCCAATTTTCCATAAACTGGAACTTTAAATTATCAATTCATTCCGGAATCAAATCAGGAAGTTCCCGCAACATCTATTTCGTGTTAAGCACACAAAGGCCATTGAACTCTCCCGAGCACGTCTCATTCGAACTAAGAAGAGTCCTCATGCGAAGAATCCACATTCCTAGAAGACATATGACGCATTAAACGAGACGCAGCTGAATGATGATGAAACCTTCTCCACCTTAATATCTGTCCAGAGAAGAATCTTTTCAGGAGAGATTGAGAGGGTCCCCGCTCAAAAATCTGTACCTCGGAGAGCTAAGTCTTCTTCTAGACCGAAGGTGAAGTTTGTTGGTAAGGCCATTGATCCAGACATCAACTACCTGGAGCAGCTTGAGAATCTGAAGATCAAGCCAACTCCAACAATTGATTACTCTACTCTTGAGATGCTTGGAATCATAGAAGATGTGATATGGTATGTTGATAAGCATGGAATGAGATCAATCATTGGGCAGAGCTTTCCAATTTATGAGAACCACACCACAGAGTTCCTTGCATCGGCGACCTTGTGCTACAAGAAGAGATCTGCTCCTAGAGCTCTATATGGCACATTTTCCTTCTCTATTGGAGAACATCTCTACTCTCTTACCATTTTAAAGATGTGTGATGCTTTGAAGCTGCCATATTGTGATGAGATCGCTTTAGAGAAAGATCCAGATGAGGATCTATGGAGATTGATGGGTTATGGAGTGTATTACAAAGGAAGATCCAAAGCCTCATTTCTCTCTCACCCTGCAGTTTGATATGTGCATAAGTTGTTGACACACACTGTGTTTTCCAGAGCCAACCAGGCGAATGTGCTCAAACCCAAGCTGGTGACACTTCAGCTACCTTTCACAGATCACCCAAGGTTCCCTTGCTTTGATTGCATCATTGGCAAGAATCTAGTGAAGGTTAAGCTTGAGATGCTTACCTCTGAGTGTCAAGACTTCTCACCAGCCTTTAGAAGCATCATTATTTCCCTTATGACAGCAGCATGAGTTGAATTTTCATCTGAAACACCTTTTAGTGAAGATTGGTTTGATCTCTTCCAATTCTCCAGACACAGGACTATTTTCAGGACCAAGATGGATCTCATTGGATTTGCTTACAAGTTCTGTACTAGTACCTCTGAGTACAGGGTTCTCCTACCATCAGATTCAGTGCCCCGAATCCGAGATGGAGCAGACCCAAGATGAAAACCAGAGACTCGCGATTTCTTACCATATGTTCCACTCCTTCCTTTGACCATGAAGCAATTTATGGCTGCAAAAGCCAAGAGGGAGGTAGCTGCAAACAGCAGGAAACTTCAGCTTGCACCTTCATCACCCCGAGCCAGTTCCTCTCACACAAGAGCATCCACTAGGAGTGATGCAGACTTTGCAATTTTGAAAAAAATGCTTGACCAGGCAGAGAGGATCAACAGACGCATGAACAAATTCCTGAAGAAGAACCATAGGTTTTTTTATAACTCCACTGTCACAGAGACAGAAGATAGCCATGAGACATAAGTGCTATCAGGGGCGGAGGTAGTGAGGGCGGCACAGGGTCATGTGCCCCCTACTATTTTTTATTTTTTCTTAAATAATTTAGGTAAATTTAATTAATTTTTTTTAATTTAGTGGTAAAAATGAGAAGTTGCCTCCAACAAAAAAAAAAAATTTCTCTGTTTATAAAATTATGCTCCCAACTATTCTATCACCTCACCATACCCACAATTCTATCATCATTTTCTTTTCTTTTATTTTAGTTTTTTTTTGCTGTTATTTACCATCTTGTCACTAACTTTTTCACACTGGGGACATTGTGATTTAAGTCTGGGGGATGATGTTTATCCGTACTGATTTATTTTCTTTGTTTCTTATCTTTTTCTGCAATTTTTAAAAAATTTCATCTGCTTATTGAAAGATCTGGAGTGTTTTTCAGGAATGTTTGACACAAAACTATGATGAGTAAGATCCATGTGCTTCTAGATCTTACATGATAAAATTTTGTGATTAGTACTAGACTAGGCGGTAGGTAGAATACTTGCACTACGAACTCCCACCAGAAAATTGTTATTCATGGAGATTTTTTCTAACAGGATATACTATCTCATTTTACTTGAACTTATTCTTGACATCTAATTTTCTCATTGGTTTTAGACAGACATCATGATATACATCTAGGACATTTTTACCTTATTGCCACAACTCTTGATTGTCCTAAATGGCCAGTTCATCTTTAGCTGGTACCACATCTTCAGAGGCGGACCCACATGCACAGAGTTGACACAATATAATTTTGTATTTTTTTTTTTTTTGGGTTACCAGATTTTTTTTTGTTTCCTTATCAAATTTGGTTTTAGCCCACGATACACTTAGCCGATGATACACATATTGACATATATCGATGATGTTATTGCTGTGTCATCATTTTATTTTAAGTCCATTAAATTTAACTAAAGTCCACTCATAATCAATTAGACTTTTTGCACGTAATTAAAAGAAAAGTTGTCCCACACTGGTAGTTTGTGGGCATAACTAAGTCTTGGTAACCCTATATATACTTTTCATTATTCATAAACTAAAATACAACAGCTGGTATTATTAAGAGTCTTATATCGGTAAGATTTGGGCATAACTAAATCTTTGTAATACATATCTCTTATTCTTCATTGAATAAGTCTAATGTTCAAAAAAAAAAAGATATTATGGAATAATCCTTTATTCCATTAGTTCTGTCATCTTTTTTTTTTTGATTTTACAAAGTAAATAATTTATTTCTTTTATTTTAATTACATACAGATATGAAGAAGTATTGGAAAAAAAGAAGCTATTTCCTCATCTCACAGTGATTTTGAAAAGAAAAGAAACTACCATCGGATCCTGCTGATCGGAAAAGAATATCAGAATATT